GGATGGTGAACACTGGGGATTCAGGGGTATCTTTGTGCCAGCCCATCTTGAGCTCCCTTTGCTCAGCAAACACCCATGTAAACCTGGCTGCAAGGAACTGATGGGGTGGGAGGCATCACTGGTCTGATGCTGGGACCAACACATTGTGGGCGGAGAAGAAGGAAGGAGCAAGAGCAGCTATATGGGCTCATAGCAAAGACTTGCAGGGAGCAGGATGGGGAGCAACCAGACAGCAAACTATATGAGAACCCCAGCCAAAGCAAATCAAGTGGGTACTAAAGCAGTGTATTTGCGTCATGGGCTGGAAGGGGCACCCAATAGAGGGTCTGGGGAGCATCAAGCCAAGGAGAGCTTCAGTGGGGACCATGCACATGGGGTGTAGGAGCTCCCATCAACATGAGTGCAGAGTGATTGCTGCCTGGAGGCTGATCTCACAATCTCTGCTGGAGTGAGTGTGGCTGAGCTGAAGGAGGGAGGAGAGATACTCAGCTCTCCATTAAACATTAATGCTCAGCCCTGACTTGCATGCGGCGAGACGGTAAAAGCCTGGAGACTGCTGGGGATTGATCCCAGCCGTGATGTGAAATGCCAGCACCGAGCCTTGGAGATGGAGCAGGGAATGAGCCAGAGGCTGGGATTGCCCCATTGCAGCCCCCTGGCAGAAAGCAGAGAAATAAATTAATGACGTGCCAGATAAATAAAATAAATTAAAATAAAATAAAGTAAAATAAAATTAAAAATGAAATGAAATAAAATAAAATAAAGTAAAATAGAAGACACATGCCTGTGCTAGGTGTGGGAGGCCACCATTGCCATTCACAGCCCATAAGGGCAGGAGCCCAGCACCATCCTTTTCCCATGCCCTGCTCACCATCTTCGAGCCTTCAGCTCAGAGCAAGGACATTTACTCACCCTCAAGTATTCCCTTCCCTGTTTCCACGGCTAGGTTACACCTCTAGCACAGAGGCATTAATGCAGTGCATGAATAAGCTCTTAACACTTCTTGAGTGTTTGCTCAATACCCATGCATCCAAGCCCTTAGAGATCCACTGCTCCATGAGGAAGTGGAAGGGGAGCTCCAGGGACCACAGTAAATGGGGATAGAGTTAGTAAAGGTATTGACCCCCCCGAAATAACCTGTGCATGGTTCCCTGCAAGGATGTGCTTGCTGCAAGGACACACATTGCTTCACACTTCTACACTGCCATAGCTGTGCCTCTGTCCTACCAGGAATGGGACAAGGAAGGGTTTTGTCGGAAGCATCCGCTCCAGAAGGAGTTAATGGCACAGGAGATGTGTTTAGTTGGATTTGGGTTGGTTTTTTTTTAACTCCAACAAACAAAGCACATGAGAAAATCCAGTTCACAGCTGAGCCCTGGCTGCTTGCCCACTAGGGCAGAGAAAATGCAGATGGTCTGAAATACCCACGTGCCTGCTTTTCTCCCATAGCCTGTGGCTCGGGGTCCCCAGCAGGTCTCCCCTCATTGTATCTGAGTCAGACAAGGTGGCAGTAGTGCAAATCACAGTGGAAACGCAGTGCTGAGCCGGGAGGAAACCTACTTCCCTTGTGCACCATCAGCTTCCTTGGACCTGGGATGCTGCGAGGCTCTGCTTGCTCAAGTCCAGTAATTAGCTCTCAAAGTAAATAGGTGTTAACAGAAACAAAGAAAGAGCCGCAGCCTGGGTAAACACTTTGGAGTCAGTTTAATTTCCCTTCTCCTGGCAGATGCAATCGTGCTGCTGTGCAATTGTTTTCAGGTTAGGGCAGGGAATGAAGCCCTGATGGGTTTGCAGAGTGGCTGCTCCTACTGGTGGCTGCAGTACTGGGGCCATCACTTCACTGACATTGAGGTTCCTGAGGCTGAATCGAGCTTCCTATGGACAAACCAGATGTGTAACACAGCCGTGATCAGCTAAACCAGCAACTAGCCATAGCACAATGTTAGCTCACCCTAAACTCCAGCCTGTTTCTTAATCCTAAAGAGTTCGCCAGTCTAGACAGGACATGAAGAGATAATGTGAAAACCAAGCGACATACTATTTACACACTCCCATTGAGCTGCAAAAAGAAAGAAGCATCAAAGGGTATAAATCTGTTTGGTCTTCTAGGTTTTTTGTCTTATGGGAGTGAGGGCAGCATTGTCCTGTGCCACTGCAGATGGTTTGCAGCCAGTTTACATCACCGTATGCAGCTGCTTTTGGATTGCCCATTTGCTTACTAAATCATGCTAAAAAGCAAGCAAACCCCCTTATTTTCCCTACCATCATGGGGAGGTGGTGAAAGAGGCTTTTACTCCAACCCCATAAACTGATCAGCTTTTCCTCCACCACCAGTGGGTTAAAAGCAAACTCATGACTGGTGACTGGGGCTCAGCTGATGTGGGGTAACCCTTCAAGCAGGAGGCCAGGTTGGATGGGGCTTGGAGCAAGCTGCTCTAGTGGAAGGTGTCCCTGCCTGTGGCAGGGGCTTGGAACTGGATGGGCTTTAAGGTCCCTTCCAACCACAGTATGATTGTGTGTGATGGCTGCGGTAAACAATGACGACGGAGTGTTTCCCTGTCCAGGATGAAAATACATCCCAGCCAGGAACAGCCTGGCTTTGGGGCTGGACCCAGCAAGGCTTTTGGGTCAGTGTAAAGGAATTGCACACCCAGGAATGAGTGCAATCAGAAGAATGTGCAGAGCAGTTTCCCTGGCAGTCCCCGATCTCGTTCCGCCACGCTGCCTGTCTGCTGGGAGAGGGAGGTTTAGTTAATTAACTGCTGCAATTAGCATGGAGCTATTCCTGCCCCTGATGGTTCCCTTTTCCTCCCCTTTTTGGTGCATCCAATTACTGACTCATTCATTCTCCAAGGCAGGAGCCACAACAAGTCACAGAGAGGCTTGAGGATGAGGGAGTGAAGGTCTAAGAAAGAAATACCAGCTGTCCCAACAAGCTCTATCGCTACCCAGGAACTGCCTTAATCTCATGCAGGCTCCTCATCACTGTATCATACAGAATGGTTTGGGTTGGAAGGGACCTTAAAGCTCATTCAGTTCCAACCCTCTGCCATGGACACCCTCCACTAGAGCAGGTTGCTCCAAGTCCTGTCCAACCTGGCCTTGAACACTGCCAGGGATGGGGCATCCTCTTCTATCCATCAACATATGGCTTCGAGGAGGTGATGAAGACGGAGCAATTACAAGTCCTGCTACTACTGTTTTATTTCCCCCTCCAGCTGACCCATCATGGAGGACGGGTGATGGGCTTAAATACACCCAGATGGACAAGACTCCCAATACTCATCACACTGCAACAACCCCTCCACTTCCCTGCCCAGCCTCGGGCCGTAGGTCCTTCAAACGATCATTACCTACTTTGGGAAAGCAATGATTTATTGCCATTCCTTAGCAGGGATGGTGAAGGAAAGGTGAGTGTGGGGTCACTGCTTTAGCAAGCACCAAAGCGAAGCACCAGCTCTGAATAATTCATGCTCCTTCTTTTCTGCAGCATCTGGACACATCTGCTGCATTTGCTCTTGCAGGCTGTTTCCCACCTTACTCAGAGCATCTCTCTCTGGCAGCTGGGTACTGTTTCAAGTGGGTACTTTCCCTACAGCATTAACGCACTGTGATTTTGTTACAAATAGGGATTTTTGTTCCTCTTTTGCTGATGTCACTCCTTGATCCTGCAGGGAATAGCGCTCGGATCTCTGCAGCCTGATGAGCCCTGTGTGCCCTTCGGGACAGATGTACTTGCAAACGGGAGATTGTTTTTCCTTGTGCTGCCCAGATTTCTATTTCACTGAAGTCCCATATCGATCCCGCTGCTGCTGGGCTGAGAGCTCATTTTACTAAATGGGAAGGAAAAAAAAACCCAGTTCCCCACAGCTGAAAATGGAAAATCCTGCAACAAAACAGCTCCTAAAAAAAAGGGGCCTGAATGATTTCACTGAACCTGCTGACACTGGAATGGGATGTGATTTATTTAGCCTGACCTTTCCCTGAAAGACTGTGCTAGTGGCATTAGCAAGGATCCTCTCTACCACTTGCACACCCATTGCCAAGGTGACATCCCGTTTCCTGCGTCAGCCAGTGAAGATCACATCCGTGCTGCTACGATGCTTTGTTTGCTGTCCTGCCTGACAAGCTCTTGGCAGGGTTACAGCTCTTGGCAGCTGCTCCACAAGGGACCAAAACAGATTCAAGCTGGACGTTATCATAGGGAGTTTCACGTAGACAGAGCTCAGGGCTGGAGTAGCCTGGATGAGGCTGGACCATGATGAGATGAAGCAAAGATGCCTGGAGGTGCTACTAAGTGTAATGGGATTGGAAGGTGACTGCATCCTGTGCTCATCCCCATCCCATCTCACTATGGTGAGCCCTTGTGGTTCTGTGGAACCAGAAGCATCTCACTAATGGTTACTGCAGAGGCTTGACAAAGCACAATCGAGTTTGGATGGTGGAGCATGACCAGTAGAACAGGTCCCACCATGGAACACAACCACCCTGTGTTCTCTTCTCCCAGCATTTTCACAGTGAGCCCCAGGAGGAGATGGGGATTCAGGCGGGAAGGACGTGTCTGTCCTTCAGTGAAAGCCTGCCAGCAGTGGGGACACCCATGGTGGGGAATGACATGGTCCTTATAAAGCTTCTCACCCACTCCACCAAGGGACTGAAACCTCTGAATGAGGAGGGATGTCACTGCTGGTTCCCATCACTCCAAAAAGGGACTTTGGTGATGGATGAGGACCAAGGGTGCAGCTAAAAAAGTCCCCACATCCTACCAGCTTCTATAAGAGACTCAAATCTACAGTTACATGAAAAATTAAGTGGCCAAAGTCTGCTCTGCTTCAGATGTCAAAGGCAGGAAAGCCTCATGGAGGTTTCCCATGTGTCCATCTCTTTCCCATTCCATCCCTCCCAGCCCTCCCATAGGTCTGATCTGAAAGAGGAGCTGTGCCCCATTGGGAGGACAGGACAGGAGATGCTCTTGGCCATGGACATGACTTTCACAGTACCTGTGTTCTCCTCGGACTGGTTGAAGCCACAGATCTGGCAGATGCTGCGAACCCACTTGTTCATGTCATCCTCCGTCTCAGCCACCAGGTAGAAGGTTCTGTCGCTGGTCTTGATGTCGAAGATGTAGCTGTCTTGCAGCTCCTTCTTGTTGAAGGTCAGGCCTGCGTCCACTTGTTCACAGAAGTTGAGGTTGATGACACGCAAGGGTTTCTTGGAGTGGTCATTTTTGTAGTACTCCAGGACATCAGGGTCGCCACTCATCCGACCGCTGCGCAGGACGAACCAGCGCTTCTTCCATGCCTGGAACCAAGAAGAGAGGAATCATGAACCCCATCACTCAAGTCATGAGGGTCAAGAAACCACTGCCATGCACGGGAGGACACACAGACATGACCCCTCTCTGCCTTGGTTGCTTTGGGATGCTGCTCAGGACATCCCTGTAAGAGATGCGCGGGCTCAGATCATCAGTTCAATACCCAAATCCCACTGGTTATCAGGGAGAATTAAATACCAGAATATCATTGTAGCTTAAGATGACTCCAAGATGACGAACCAGCACTGCTTCCGTGACTGAAACCAAGAACAGAGGAAGCATGAACCCCATCACTCAAGTCATGAGGACCAAGAAACCACTGCCATGTACAGGGTGACACATGGACATGACACCTCTCCGCCTTTGATGCTCTGGGATGCTGCTCAGGAAATCCCTGCAAGAGGTGCACAGAATCACCTCATCAGTTCAATACCCAAATCCCAGTGGTTATCAGGGAGAATTAAATACCAAAATATCATTGTAGCTTAAGATGCTAAGCTTAAGACTCATTAAGCTTAAGACTCCAAGAGCTGCTTGTTTTGAGGCTTAGAGCAACCTTGCTCCTACCTTACAGTTGCACTCCCAGGACTTAAATACCCTTTCACCTCAATGTAAGATAATCTGTGGGGTGGCATTACTGGCAATGCTGAAATGCCTTCCAGCAGCTTGGAGGAGCTCAGGTGCTTCAGACCTGAGTATCCTACCCTCCAGAGAAACCCCTGAGAGCACCGCAGGGCAAGTCTGCAGATACCAACCACACCAATTCCATCTCTGTTTAAATGCCAGGATAGAAAAGGCTAATAAAACCAACGAGGATCTGGTTTGTATGTTTTAAATATCAGGAATAATGCCAGAGAGACCCATGGAGAATCCAAGCTTCATTTGTTTTTCAGCATCTTCTGCTCCCCAGCACGTAGGAAACCCCTTAGCAAAGGAAAAGGTTATCAGTGATTCTTCACAGCACTGCTGACAGCAGCCCCATGCCAAACTGACCAGGGAAAGACCTCAGGGGCTTATGGTGTTTGAAGCAATACTCCAAGATAAATGTCAGCCATCAGCCCTGGCATTGGGAGCTACAGCCCCTCTGCTCTCACCGATGCCAAATGCAGTTGGGAGCCCACAGGAGGGGGAAGAGACAATGATAATGTGCTAAATACTGCCACTTATGTTATATGGAAAATCGTGCAGGTGTAATTCCCTATTCCATGGGATGGAGGGTTTTTTGGGGGGATGGGTGCTGCACTAGCACCCTGGTGCCCATAGGAGGGATGTGCAGGATGAGGGACCACATTGAGCTGCTCCCCATCTGCTTTGCAGAGGGCTGAGCTCCCATGGTGTGTAGAAGGGAAAGACTATGTTTAAGTGTAGATGAGTTGTTCACGCTGCCTTGGAGGGCAGTGAAGGTGCTAGAGGTTCGCAAACAACATGGGTTGGATACAGCGGACATCGATGGGATATTGCCAGCACTCCTGCATTGACCAACACAGACCTCAGTTTGCACCAAATGATGTCAAGGAAGAGGATGTAATCCCTACCATCCTGCATCACTTGTGGACATTTGGTTTTTTTTAATGAGATTTACCATATTACTTTTTGTTAAAATCACCAGCTTTGGGGTTAATATGATTATGAGAGGTTGGAGCATGAGGACGCCTATGATGTGCCTAAGAAAGAAGAACCAACAGCCACAGACATCATTAGTAACCCAAGAAAGGAAGCAAGGTGAGTGGTGTGCTGGGACCTCAATGATGCTCCCTGGGAGGTGACCACAGCCCTGTGATGCTTTGCATATTGGTGATGGGCATGTGCCAGTTGCACCAGGATCCCACGGATCTGGGGGATTTGCTGCTGAAATAAGCCTAAGAAACAACTACAATGCTTTCTCTGAAGGGTTCACTTTGCACCATACTTCTCAAAGGCTTAAAACCAGCTTTTGTTGGTGCCTTTGAGATTTGTAACCAAATTAGTTTTGCACTAATTCTCAAACTGGTCCCCAGTGCCAGGAAAGCAACTTCAGTGCAATCTTCCAAAAGCAGCAGAGCATCAAATTGCTTAGCAAGAGGATGTGCAAAGCTGGCAGGCTTTGGTTTCATCCACGAGACGCTCACCCACTCCTCATTGAAACAGCTGCTTCTAGATGAAATGAAATGCACATGGGAGACCTGCGTCCATCAGGGAGGGGAAAACCAATTTCACCAGGCAACAGCAATGGTTTGCTGGCCCATTTAGAAATGGACCATTGAAATCATTGGGAAACAAACTCCTGGACATTTTTTCTAGCTCTAGGTGGAAAACGTCCCATTAACTTCTTCTTAATACCGAGACATTTCTTTGCAGCCACTTGGCAGGGCTAAGACATGGGCACACGTCAATGAGGGGGTCTGAAAGAAGATCAAGGTGTGAAACCACACGGACCACCACCTGAATGAAGACATCCAACACCAGTTCTTGCTACCTAGCTTGTTGCTTTCCAGCTATTCAGAGCCAACCCTTGCAGCATCTCTTCATGGCACGGAAGTTGTGTTAAAAACCCCATAAAATACGGAAATTGGACATCAGAATTTAGAGCTTCCACGGAAAAAACAGGAGGAAATGCTGCAAGCAAGGCCGATGATGCTAACATAGCCTCCCATTTTATCGCCAGTGCCAGAGCCACAACTTCTCTAGTGCTTTTTGGTGTGTCTGGTAGCAATGGAAAGCCCCACACATTCACTATTTGGCAGAGCAAACAGTATAACACACATAGTCTGGTAGCATTGGGTAAGCCCTAGCATAAGCTGCTAGCAAAAGACCTGCTTTTGCCAGGACAATATTTCTTGGGATGCTTCAGGAGTTGGAATATCACTTGAAGAAGGGACCATCGGATGGGGAAACAGCCTCATCAACATAGGATGACCACCCTGTCCACCTCTGCCATGTGCCTTCCTCTGAAACAGCTTCTGACATAGAAAACCAGCTCATGGCAGCAGCATTTGGACTGCCTGTCCAGAACAGGAAGCACAGCTGAATGCATCTCCCTCCACATGTTCCACAGAAGGATCAGCCATTCCTTCCTCTTAAGATCAGCTTCTGAGCCAGAGGAATAAGCACTGACCATTAGAAGAGAATGGACAGAAATAATACAGAAATAGCCAGGAACCTTCCTATTTTTATGGAGATTTCCCCCATTCCTTTGAACTTCTGAGCTCAGCAAGTGTATTTCAGTTCTTTCCTGTGGATTTACTATGTTTCCATTAGGAAAAAAGACTCAGCTTGTGTTTGCCAGGCTGGGGCTGCTCTTGGAGCACCTTATGGCACTAACAGGGCTTGCTTCAATATGTAATGATACGTGGCAAAGGATACACAGCCAGCAGCATGTGGTCCATCCTCCTGGGACACCTATTTCCTATTCAAAGCTATGAACGTCATCCAAATCTTCTATGTTTAGGCTTCCTTAGAGTATCACCTTCCTGCAAGAGAGTGATTTAAAGGACTACCAGCCACCAGCTGCCACAGCAGCAGGGTGCATAGGGTATATGTACATGGCAATCACAGCCCACGCCAAAGCACAGGAGGATGTGACTCCACGTGGACCTACACACTCTGTAGTAGGTCTCTGTTTCCAAGACCACCTTCTCCCATCACAGGGCTGTGGCGGCCAACACGCATCTCCCTCTCCACCTGGGTTCTCCTTCTCTCCTCATTTCTGTTCCTTCCTGGCTCCTTTGAAGCCCCTGTTGCTGTCAGCTCCTGCCAAAACACTCTGCCTCACCGACACGTGGTGTGAGCCAAGGGCTGTGTTTGTTTAACAGCTTTACAACGTGGAGAGGCCAACAACTTAACAGCCATAAAATGGTGCCTTTGCTGCCCAGCTTTCCAGCTGTGTGGTCCTCTGCCTGCGTCAGGTGCCTTCAGAGCTGAATTACAGCTGCTGAAGGCCCTTAATAGCATTGAGAAATATTTTGACACTCGGTAAGAACTTCTTTTAAGGGCTTGTTTGTTAAGCAAATGCCCGTGGTGCTGCCAGTGCAATGAAAATGCTCCCTGAGTGCCCAGAACCGCAACTGCTCGATCGCTTCCCAGCTCAACAGTGCCGTGGCAAGCTAAAGTTTACAAAACTGACCCCTTTCCAGCTGGATACTACCTGGAATTGGTTGGTTTATGGGTTGCAGAGTTGGGTTGGCAGAGATGAGGTGGTGCTGCTGGGTTCATTGGTTTAGTGCACTTAGCAGGGATGCTCTGGGGGCTCAGGCAGTGGCTGGGACCTTTAGAATCATAGAATCATGGAATGGTTTGTGTTGGAAGGGACCTTAAAGCTCATCCAGTTCCAACCCCCTGCACGGGCAGGGATGCCTCACACTAGAGCAGGCTGCTCCAAGCCCCTGTGTCCACCCTGGCCTTGAACACTTGCACCCTGATGGAGCAATGCAGTGACAGAGCTTGCGGTGTCCCTGCAGAGGGCTCAGACTGTCCCTTGTCAGACAATCTGGGGACTCCAACTGTGTAATAACCCAAGTGCAATTAAGGACAGGTCAGAGAGCAGCTTTAATAACTATGATTATAGCCAGGGGACATTCGGACAGCATCTTCCCCTCCGCTCCCCTGTTCTGTGCCAAGTGATTGCAGAGACCCAACCTATATATTGTTGCAGAAGAGAAAGAAAAGAGATGAGGAAAATAATCATTTCAATGCTAGCAAAGCCAGATACCCATCCCCGGGGAGCTTGCCAGCTGCCACAATCCTAAGAAGGAATCAAACAGTAAATACAGTGATAATATGAAGAGATGGCTCTTGGTGGGGCCTATAGGAGTGCCTCTCCCAGTATTATCTCAGCTCTGAAGTGAGGAATTGGAAACAGAGACTGTTAGCTTTTAGCTGAAAGGAATGTTCTTTCAGCTTGAATAAACTGCTAAGCAAGACCTCTCAAATCTTAAATATTAATAATATTACCAGCACACCCTTATAACATATATAGGGATAGGGGAAGAAGAGAGAGGAGAGGAGAGGA